ACACAGTCCAGTTTCTCCCCGTATGAGTCTGGGTCCCCAGAGATTCGCCCGGAACTGGATTTCAGTTCAGTCTGGAGTGTGTGTCTCCCTCCCGATTGAAAAAGACAACCACGTCCTCAGTTGCCAGCCCTTTCCGCGTGCGCCTCCGTGCCTCTGCACTTTACTTCTGCACCTCCTCTGAGTCTCAGTGTGCTTTTCTTTTTCCTTCTAGTTGTAGAATTTCCACGTCTGGGTCCCCAGAGATTCGCCCGGAACTGGATTTCAGTTCAGTCTGGAGTGTGTGTCTCCCTCCCGATTGAAAAAGACAACCACGTCCTCAGTTGCCAGCCCTTTCCGCGTGCGCCTCCGTGCCTCTGCACTTTACTTCTGCACCTCCTCTGAGTCTCAGTGTGCTTTTCTTTTTCCTTCTAGTTGTAGAATTTCCACTCAGCCAGCCTTCCTGTGGTTCTGGGTGATGTCCGTTTTGGCTTTTAGTTGTATTTTTGAAGTGGTTGTGCGAGGCAGCAATTGCAGGTGTTTACCTATGCCGCCATCTTGGTTTCTCCCCTATCTTATTTTTTTTGCTGTTAAAAAGTAATGCTGTTATGAGTATCTTTATATATGTCTCTCTTGTTTTTAAACCCTTAATTAGGCAAATTTCAAACCAACAAAGCCGAGAGAGGAGTTGAAATAAACTCTCAAGTACAGTCTTGTGTCACGCATGTCCTTACCAACTTCACCCACCCCGTCCCCTCCTCCATAAAGCCCTGGCTGCATTTGTATGGAGTAAATCCCAGATATAATATACTTTTATGCATAAATATTTTTGTCTATTAAGCTTTTGAAAAAAACATAACTATAATAGAATGTCTATTCCTAACAAAAGAGTTCCTTAACATCAAATACCCAGTTGGTGTTCAGATTTCCCTAATAATCTAAAATGTTTTAAACATTTTGTTTGGTCAACTCAAGATCCAAATAAGACCATATTGCAATTGTTTGATATGTCTCTTAAGTCTTTAAATATTTAGGTCCCTACTATCTCTGTATTATTTTCTTTCATTTTATTTATTGAAGATACCAGCAGTCCTACTTCATTTTTCAGAGTCTCAATTTTGCTGATTGTATTCCCATAATGTCATATAACATATTCCATCATTCACTATATTTTCTTTGATACATAACTTTTGTAGTACATTCGTAGGAAAAATTATTTGCAGTAAGTTTATTGAGTTGAAGGGTATGTTCATTTTAAATTTATTAGCAAATTTTTCTCCAGATAGGTTTTATCTGTTTATGTCTCATGCTGTAAATATGTGTAATTCTGTGGCTATCTAAGAATGGTAGATGTATTTTGATCATTACCAAACTCTAGTTAGAACACTTATTTATCTCAGAAGTTGCTTTTTTTCTCTTGATTGTGTGTTCAAGAAATAGCTATTATGTTTTGTACTGATTCATAATGTACTGATTCATTATGACTGTCTATTATTACATTGATTTTATATGATAAGTAAATATTCTGATTATGTTTGTTGTTGTTTTTTTGTCTTACGATCACATACGTAACAACAGACTGAGCCTTTAGATTATTTTCTGTTGGAATTAAATGAGATTCTGATTATTTTTCTGAAATTGTATGCTTTTTAGGGGTATGACAGAAGGAGTTACACTGTTAATCCTGGCGGTGCAGACGGGTCTCATCGAGCTGTCCTGCTCAGTATTATCCTTTTCATTGTTGTAGCTTCTATCCTACAGTCTATGCTGGAGATTGCAGATCCTATTGTTTTGGCGCTGGGAGCATCTAGAGACAAGTAAGAAACTTTCCAAGAGAAGTTTTTGTAGTGTGCTTTACATGATTTTATTGTCTGAAGATTTGGGTAATGTTTACAGGCAGAAAATGGGTGAATAATTGGTATTAATTTAAGTGAAGAAACTTACATTTTAATTTTTTTAATATGGCTGACTTTTCTGTTGTTTATTTTCTCTATCTCTCAAGATTCCTATAGTTAAAATTAAAAGTCATATCAAAGGCCATTTATTACAAATAAACTTTTTGTCAGAGAAATTTAATACTTTTATAATTGTCCAGTTTTAAAATGAACATAGAGCATAAAATTTATTTTAGTAAATACAGCAATTAATACATTGTTTTATTCCGTGTAATGCTGAAGGAGAGAAAGCATTGAGAGAAATGTAAACGAAAGAAAAAGACTGGAGGCAATCAGAGAAAGGCATTCATGGAGTAACAGCCTCTTCTGATGGCCTTTTATACAGTTGCAACTTACTAAGGATGCATTGGGGAATCTCAGCATCTTATGGTACCAGATAAAATTGATGGCTGGATTCATGTTCATCTCATATAACAGAAAGTTTAAGGAATAAAAGTCATTAATTTAGCTCTATAAGATACTATTTTGACTTACTGTAGTTTATACAAGGACATTCTATAAGGAATTGCTTAAAATTCAGTGCCACTTTTTTTCAGCATCTGTCTACACTGATTATTGATTATTGAAATACCTGCTTTTATTGCTTATTTGGTAGTGTTTAATGAGCAAGGGAGCAGGCAGTGTTTTGGGAGATAGAATTTCAACAGCAGATTTTTAAAACATTCCAAATTAGCATTTTAATTATAGTTCATCAGGTTTATCTTTTTATCCCCTGATAAGAAACCCTTCTAAGGTGTCTTAGAAACATTTAAGATGTTGAACTCAATAGTGAACTCAGTTAATAGCCACTTTAATTGGATTGTTTTTGATTTAAGTACTATTTTGTCTGGCAATATTCTTTAGTATTAATGAAGCATATGTCAATAAGATTAAGATAATCCTATAGAAAGTTTGGGCAAGAGAAAGAAAAACATAATTCCACTGCCATAAGATTTTTATTGAATTTTAACTGCTTAAATAAGGAGATAATATGTTTGTGTATATATGTGTAAACACAAAAATTAGATATAAATTTAAAGCTCTTTGCATATTATTCTAGTAGAGCGTTAGGAAGCTTAGTCTGGCTGGCGGTGTCCAAGATAGGTCACTAGGGAGGAAGAGCAGCTAGTCGGTCTTGCATCAGTTTTTCCTCCAACCTCAGCACATGTGAGGATTAATATACCTGTCATCAGAGAGCATTCCTCTCACTAACCCTGCACTCACAGGAGCCGAGATTTTCATCACAGTGGAGTGGGCCGGGAGAGGGGCGATGGTGATGGCATATAACTTCATACAAGTTACTGTTAAAATTGTTAAGGTTTAATGCTACGAAAGACTGAAATTACTTTCAGATAACTAGGTCTAGGACTGAAACTGAAAGCAAACTGTTGAGGAAAAAAAGAATTGTTGATGCCTGGCAGTGGCTGAGTGTGGAGAGTAAGAGAAAAGAAACGAGTCAGGTGGACAACCGGGCCCAAGCCATGACCTGCCCTGACCTTTAGTGCAGTGACCGGCTGGTGAAGGGTGCTCAGGGCGGTATTTGTAAAGAGAAGCATGACAAATACCTGTTAGCTGGGAATGTAATGGTTGTGTTACTAGGTAACAGGCACTTTAAAAGAATACCTTTCTTTCTCTAGGAGTTTATGGAAACACTTCCGTGCTGTGAGCCTTTGTTTATTTTTACTAATATTTCCCGCTTACATGGCCTACATGATTTGCCAGTTTTTCCACATGGATTTTTGGCTTCTTATCATTATTTCTAGCAGCATTCTTACCTCTCTTCAGGTAAGCCAAGTTACTAACTTTGTATAATAACTAAAACTTTTTAAGGATTCATGATAATATGTGGCCTATGTAGGTGATTACTTCCCACCTTCTTTACTAAAATATGTGACATTCGTTTGAGCATAGGAGTTGAAGGTAAGTTTATTAAAATACTAGGCTGTCTTGTCACTATATTCTATTTTATCAAGGTAATTAAACTTTGTACTTTCTCTTTTTCAAAATAGTATGATACAGAGCTGTTATGTAAATCATAAATTGAAGTAATTACAAAATATTAAAAGATTTTAACACTTTTTTGAAGCACTTTTTTTTTTTGGTAAATACCATTCAGAAATAAATATCCAGTTTCATGATGTTTATAAATACATGACGTTTGTATTACACACACACACAGTATTGCCCTGAAAATGATAAGCTTATTGTAACTCGAAGGTGGATCTTTGCTGCCTGATCCATAGGAAGTAAAAGAAAAGGTAGCACTGGCAATAAAGATTTATTCACTGTTCCTTGTAGAATTAACAGTTCTTTCAAAGTGGAGGAACATGTATGACTACAGACTGAGGAAATTTTAGATAGAATTTTTATGGGTTTTGGTGACCTAGGAAGGAAGGAAAGAGTCGGAGGAAACTAATTACTAATTAGAACTGTTTTAGGAAAGTTGTGTCTCAGGGTATGGCTTTTTGGTATCGAATACCTGGATTACTGAGGTCACTCACCCACATTTTAATTATGCCACTGTCTCTAGATATTAACATGGCATCCAAAAGTATTAGGAATTTGTTAATGTTTAACGTCTATGGAAAACCTTTCACAGTGATCAGATTCTGTTTTAATGTACATGCTTTTTCTTTCAGGTTCTGGGAACACTTTTTATTTATGTCTTATTTATGGTTGAGGAATTCAGAAAAGAGCCAGTAGAAAATATGGATGATGTCATCTACTATGTGAATGGCACTTACCGCCTGCTGGAGTTTCTCGTGGCGCTTTGTGTGGTGGCCTATGGCGTCTCGGAGACCATCTTTGGAGAGTGGACAGTAATGGGCTCAATGATCATCTTTATCCATTCCTACTACAATGTGTGGCTTCGGGCCCAGCTGGGGTGGAAGAGCTTTCTTCTCCGCAGGGATGCTGTGAATAAGATTAAATCATTACCTCTCGCAACGAAAGAGCAGCTTGAGAAACACAATGATATTTGTGCCATCTGTTATCAGGTAAGTCACACAGTAAGAATCCATATGGGTGGGTCATACTGTATCCTTTGGTGTTTCCCTGGGAATTTAACTTGAATCTGGATAATGTAGTTATCTCCTGGGACAAAGAACGTGGGCCTCAGAAATGATTAGACCTGATAAAATATTTCCATTTTATTTCTAAATTTAAGTTTTTAATTTAGTTCCTCAAATTCTAACATATTGTTATTTTCAACATTATTGCTCACCCATAAATAAAGGAAAAACAGGTCAGGTGTATTTTATATTTTACTCCTGAGTTCATGTACACACACACATATATGCATTATCAAATATATACGGTAACTCAGGAGTCAGCAACTTCTGAAAAGTGGTGTGCCAAGAATCAACTCTTTCTTCTGGTATTCCCAGGGTGGGGAAGAAGTGTTCCTTTACTTTCCATGGGTGGAGAGAGTATGTGCTACCTGTGGTGGTTATCTGCGATGGTTACAAGTCTGTGTGTGAGGGTGGGGTGGGCACATATGGTAGAGGCAACCTGTTGGTGTCCCATTGCATTGGCCTACCTTTGGCACATGTGCCATGTATTGCTGATGATTGCCTTCTATTAAAAATCTAAAGATGCTATTTAAATCAGCTTGAAAATATAACAACAAAAAAATAGGCCTAGAATTTAGTCACCAGTCACCTGTGCAAAGGGGTGATTGAGTAGCAGCTTTTACAGCTCAGCGGTACTGTTGGGTGTGTGGACAGCAGTGATGGGCAGCAGCAGAAGCTGTACGTGTAAAGCAGGGGTGGGGAACATCCAGCCCGAGGGCCGTATAAGGCCTGTGAAATCATTTGGTCTGGCCCTGCCAAGGCCTTAGGGGTGAGTTAATTAAATGTTTGACCAAATATAGCAGGCTAATTTTTAAGTTGATAATTTTGTATGGCCCCCAGGTAATGTTATAAATATTCAAATGGCCCTTGGCAGGAAAAAGACTCCCCCACCCTGCTCTAAAGTCACTCTTGGAGTGTGGTGAGTGTGGCCCGTGATAAAGCCGCAGAGTGTCAGTGAGGACACAGAAAACGTCCTCCCTCCACAGTTGCTAGACCATCTACATAGAATTTTTTTCTTAAGAGTAAAAGGCATTTATGTCCCACGCTTTTTTGTTATTAGAACACACTTTTGGGTACTAGCAAAATACTGTTTTTTGGGTTGTTTTTGCATTTGAGAGGACTTGGCGTATAGTGTAGGTTCCCCGAGTTAGGTGGTCGCTGTTTTAGTTCTGGCTCCTTGGTGCTCAGCACCTTGTCATGTGCAGGACAGAGCCCAGCAGTGACAGATTCAGGGTACTGCAGCTCCAGTGGCCAGCCTGTGTATAAATATGCCATACTGGGATTTGAGTCCTCTTTCTATTTCCTGATGTCACATCACTTTTTTTTGAGGTGCTTGAACTACCTGCTGATGCCACACAGAAAATGGAAGTCAAATTGCTTAACTTCCAAGCTGGCTGCATTTCCTTGGATGGCTTTCTGCTTAATAGTTGACTCCCAGGTGTTACCAGCTCTTGACAAGGGATTTCTAGAAATTCCTTGTTTTGGGACTATAAATAACCCTAATGGTCAGTTCACCAAATTATAATCTTAAATTTAAACTTCGTGTCCTCAGTCTTCCCTCCCCAAATATATCTTAAGCAAGGAATATTAATGCAAAATCTACCACTTCGTATTCCAGTGGTTATTGAACTTGAATGTGCATAAAAGTCACGCAGGTGGCTTGTTGTAACTAGATTTGTGAACGCCATCTTCAGTTGTCAACTTCTGGCCCACGCATATGCATGGTTAACCAGCGCTCTGGGCAGTTCTGATGCACGGTGAGAAACACTGGCTCGGCTTATACAGACTATCTTAAAAATTGGATATAGACGTTGAAATTGAAATTGTTATTTCCTCGCCAGTACCCTGGTATTTTGTGGCTAGTTTTGTCTCCTTGCCAATAATCTCATCATGGAATAATCTGTTCAACTGTGGAAAAGCCCTGTCTTCATCACATTTCCTGAGGTTCTGATTATACTTGCGCCATACCTGATGGAGACCCAGTAATTCTGCTCTCTACAGTTCTGTAATCCTCGCATTTCATACAAGGCAGAAACCAGTAAAGAGGCCATTTCTTCCTCGTTTTTGGCTTTTACTTATTTTAAAAAATCACTTAACCAGTGGTTCTTGCATTTGTAATGTGGGGGCGGGGGGTTCTCTGATGGCAAGAGGATTATTACTAAAATATAAAATGAGTTTTAACCTAAGATCTGTGTTACAAATTTTCTTTGGGGAATTGTTGGGGAAAATGGCAACTATAACTTTTGGGGATATCATCAAAGATTGTAGATAATAAACACTTATGAAGTATCTTTATTCCCCATTAGGACATGAAGTCTGCTGTGATCACACCTTGCAGTCATTTCTTCCACGCAGGCTGTCTGAAGAAGTGGCTGTATGTCCAGGAGACCTGCCCCCTGTGCCACTGCCACCTCAAAAACTCTTCCCAGTTCCCAGGGTCAGGGACTGAGCCGGCTCCACAACCGCGTGCTGGAGCGGAGGATAACGCTGTGCGTCAGGAAGGGACCCAGCCGGCTCCACAACCACCTGCTGGAGCCGAGGAAAACGCTGTGCGTCAGGAAGAGACCCAGCCAGCTCCACAACCGCGTGCTGGAGCCGAGGAAAGCGCTGTGCGTCAGGAAGGGACCCAGCCGGCTCCACAACTGCGTGCTGGAGCGGAGGATAACGTTGTGCGTCAGGAAGGGACTGCACCCCCAGACCAAGAGCATCCTCGAGGGACCGGAATGGAAGAAGGTTCCAGGGACAATAATGAGTGCATTGCCAGCAGATCAGGTAGCCAGGAAGGGACTTGTGAGCCCATGGAATAGCTTCTTGGTGCAAAAGATGAAGCACGTCCTGCTGAGGTCAACCCAGAAGAAAAGCAGCAGGAGTAACGCTGTGTGTGCTGGCGGGGAGGCTAACTCCGATGGAATTTGTGCCCAGATTTGAGAAACAAGTATATGGGGTGATTAGGTGGGAAATTTGACATTCCAAGGATCTAATCCAAGAAGTACTTACTCTCAGTGGAGACCACCTGCTTTCATGCCCTTGACATTGTGGGAGAAATTTTGCAATGTATGCTAATCAAAATGTATTTATATATCCTATGCTGATGTTTTGTAGAGGTTTGCCAAGGAAATTTAACCTCAACAACTTCAGAAACTGTCCCTGATTTGTAAGGGATAAATAAAATCAGATTTGAGTGTTTGAAAGGGGCTAAAGAAAGGAAGACAACATAAGGACAGTCTGGGAAGAGGCAGGCAGAGTGGAACTGACATTTCACTTTCTATGGGACAGGATCCTTTTTGTTACAGAATATGAGTAGTGACCAGCCCCTTTCTCCACCCCCTTTTCCCTCAGCTAATTGGAACTCAGTCTGGTAATTATTGAGTTTTGTACAGCACTGATTGAAATCAAAGATATAAAAGCATTAATTGTATCCAGAGATTGAAACCTGCTCATACTTTGTATGTGCTTTTGGGGAGGGGTGGGTGGGCATTTGGCCTCAGGTACATTCACGTAACCTGAGACTCATGAACTTTCTGATGGAGTCCTCAATATTTTGTGTATATGAAACTTTTGTTAATATATCGTACACTGTTGGCTATGTGAAGTAATCTAAAACTCTAATGAACACTTTGGAGTCCACTTTAGTGTGGGAGACCGAAGTGGGAAGGGCTTTAGGGTACTGATAGAGGCCTTGTGTACTTTTCAATCCTGTGTAATGTTTAGTTCTTGCAACTGAATCAACAGTGTTAAGTTATGGCAATATTTGCACTTGGGAATGAGTACATAACTGTATGATCACACTGCAAATGCCACTTTTAAAGCTGTTAATAGACTTTGCACCTTTTCTTTGATAAGGATGTGTCATATTTAAATTTTTACATTCATCATGGCTACAGGTAGACCTGGGGGGGGGATACAATTTTTTATGGGAATTTTGATATGAAAAGAAACTAGTCATTTATTTATACAATAGGCTTGGTTCAGAATGTTTTTCAGACTTGGTATTCCTAATGTGGGTTGTGACTTTATTTTATTTTTAGTAGCAAATTTGGATGTAGACTGACAGACATAGCTGAATGTCTTAATAAATTTAAATTTGAAGATAACTATGTTTTTCCCCCTGTGATGATTATTATTATAAAGTGTTTTGTTTTTAGTAGACTTTTTCCCCCCCTCTCCAGCTGGGTTTATATCTTGATCTCTGTTTAAAGTGACCTGTAGATGACAAAGTTTTTTGCTTGAAAAGGGCCAGTTCTTTGAAATCTCCTACACCAGTGATAGCAGACTCAGCTCTGCACCAGAGCATCTGGAGAACTTTTTTTAAAAAGTACACGTTTTTTAACACCACTTCAGACCCATTGGATCAGCTTCGGGGGAGCCTGAGACCGTGCACTTCAGAGCTCCTGGGTGATTTTATCCAAGACTGACACTAGCACTGTTCACGTTTAGAAAAGAAGTGGCTAGATTAGGATGAATTTCTCCCTGGTGGAGCTGGAAGTTTCCCACCATCCTATTGGTGAGCCAGGTTAGGCAGCAAAAAGAGCAGATAGCTCCCTCTAGTGGTGTTCAGGCTATTATGCACGACGTAGCAGTGATCTCTGGTTTAGAACGGATTTTTGGCCTTTGTGGAAAAGGTAAGTGTTCAAATATTAACCTTTTTGGTGTCTCGTTTGAAGGAATTAAAGTTGCAGATGAAGTTGAAATCATTTGTGTCACAGTGACCCTGGCCAGCCTTTAGCATCATCTACACTTCTGACCAAAGAACTCTCATACACACCTAAGGAAAAGTAGATGTTTAATAAAAGCAGGAGCTTCTTTGGTACCAAGTTTCACATTAGAATGCACTTTTTTTTTTTACCTCCTAATAGCAAGGAGACCCCAGCTGTACTTGCCAAGTTGCAGGAGCCTCTCAGCAGCCTGGTGGACGAATAACAGCCTCTCCATTACTCAGCCTACCCATTAATGCTTTTGTTTCAGTCAGGAGAGTTATCTTGTGTTGTAGTGATGAAAACCCTCCCAGTCTCAGTGGTCCTAAAACAACAAAGGTTTATGCCTCACACACACCGCGAATGTGTCTGTTTGCTTTGGAGCAGACACTCGGGCATCTAGGCTGCGTGGAACAGCCAGTCTTGAACCTTCTGATGGTCGTGGCCCAGCGAAAGGGCTCTGGGAGGCTTAGCAAGTACATGCGCCTCCCAGTGGTGGGTGCACGTCCCTTTTGGTCATCACCCTTCATCACCCCGTGGCCGCAACTGTGGTCGCACCAGCACACGAGGGTGTGGACGTTCAGTCTTCCTCCTGTGGTCTGGGAAGAGGACACAGCAGTGCTGATGACTACCACACCTCTGTTGAAGCAACATGTACTTTTATTTACTCATTAAAAACTTGGGAGCACACCTGTGAATTCTTCAAACTATACTGGTCGGTTGAGAACCTCTGACCTAATTTGCTGCTTGTTCTAATATGCCAGGACGGTCGGTAGCATTGTCTAATGCAGGGGTGGGCAAACTTTTTGACTCAAGGGCCACAATGGGTTCTTAAACTGGACCGGAGGGCCGGAACAAAAGCATGGATGGAGTGTTTGTGTGAACTAATATAAATTCAAAGTAAACATCATTACATAAAAGGGTACGGTCTTTTTTTCCCAATAGTTTTATTCATTTCAACGGCCCGGATTCGGCCTGCAGGCCGTAGTTTGCCCACAACTGGTCTAATGCCATCTGTCATTCACATTTCTGCTTCCCAGCCATGTTTCCAACTCCCTGCCAGACTTTGGACCTGAGAAGACAAAGTTTAACCACCTAGTTTGTACCACAGAAGAGAAAACAAGAAAATCAGATCAGATTTCCCTTACACTTGATCAAATGAAGTGAGAAAATAGCACATTCCTGATGGGCCCTTTTTAGGCCACTTTTCCTGTCCACTTAATTTCTCGGACAGTGTGTATGTACTTTTCACCCATGATCACTTTTCTCTTAGAAATTTTATTCCCTTATGAACTTTGACATCAAAGTTAGTACTAAACAATCTCAATTCTCATACTAGTTATCAGTGTGTATTTCTAGTTTGTGTTGTTTCTCATGTTAGAAAGCTGTTCTAGAGGTCTAAATCATGCTATTTGCACAACATGTCTTTATAGAGGTCTGGTTATCTTTTTTGGTTAATCCTCACCCAAGGATGTTTTTTCCATTGATTTTTAGAGTGGAAGGGAGGGGGGTGGGGAAGAGAGAGAGAGAGAAATAACAATGAAAGAGAGACACTGATTGGTTGCCTCTCACTTGAATCCCCTAGTAGTCCAGTCGTCGGGTACTCCTTAGCCCAGAGGCTGGGTCTGCCATGAGTCTCACTCCTTGATTGTCCCTGTTCTGAGCTGTACTCCATTCCCCCACGGAGCTGGTCCCACAGGTGTGAGCTGCAGGTGCTTGGAGTGCCCCTTGCTTTTGCCTTGTTGCACCATCTGAGGCAGTGTTTGCGGCTGGGACCCAACCACTGTTTCTGACTAATTGATTAGATCAGGCAACGCCTCCAGAGACCTGCCTCTGCCTGCAGACTGATTGGATTCAGCCTTGAGTAACCTTGCAATTGTCCACAGGTGGCGTGAGAGGTTTTCCAACTGGGTGGGGGGATTGTTTTTGCCTGGAGGCTAACTGTTATTCTCAATCTCTTAATGGGCCTCAAACTCCACACTGTGGGGCTAAGGGTTTTCCAATAGAATGAGTCAACTGCCTTCCCCCCAGGCAAAAACCACCTGGATAGCAAGGGTCAGCCTGAGAAAGAAGACCTCTGCAGCATGAGGAAATGACTCAGAAAACTGGGGTGTCTGCCTTCCAAGCGCTAACCCCAGAGCCCCCAACCCTGGCTTCTGCTCACCCAGCTCCAATCCATTCTGCTCTCCCTCTGCTGGAGCCCAAGGTGAGTGGCTGTACACAAAATTCTGTGCTATGATGGCTTTAAGAGGGTGCCTGCATTTCCAGCAGTCTCCCCGTGGCAGACAGCAAGCTGCTGCTTTTCACAGCCAGATATCGTGTGGGTACCCTTCTCAGTTCTGGTGCTCCTTGCTGGGGGGGTCCAGCTTGGGGATTAGACCCCAGAGTTCTCAGTGGCAACCCCCTACAGCTGAGATATCCCTCTGGAACTTCAGCTGCTGTCTGTGGAGGCTCGGCCAGCCCTTTCATGCCTTTGCCCCTCCTACCAGTCTCTCTGTGGTCTCCACTTTCTGTCCTTGATTATCAGGGTTCTCTCCAGCTAGTCTGATTATTTAGGATTTATTTTTGGTATTTTAGTTGTAATTCCAGTTTGGTCCTGTAGCGTGTCTATGTAGCATCCGCTTACTCCACTGCTATATTTTTAATCTGGAAAAGTATTTTAAAAGAATAAAAATCTCACCTAATCTCACTTTTGGAATTAGTTTTTTCAAGTTATTTTTATATCTGATGATAGCAGACACCCCTCCCCCCACCATGGAGAAGTACAACTCTCAGAGAGTCATTTCCACTTCTCTTTTTAAAGTTGACTGTCTATCTTTTGGTTTCTGAAATTCAAATACATTCCAAACAGTATAGCAATTCATCAGTTGAGGCACACCTGTTTCTCCCACCTTTACAGACAAAGAATGCTATGACTTTAAAAAATAGGGTTACATCTTATAGGTAGTACTTGCTTAGAAAATAATAAAAAATACTAGGAGCCACTTACAGAGCTAGTCATTTTTGTGGCCACTCCGAAACATGCTTCCTTTTTCTCCAGTGGATTCTGCAGTTACATGCAGTGTGTCAACAGACTGAGAGTTAAGGTAAGACATTCACAGTGAAGACAGAAAACCTTGCTATTGGCCATGCTTCTGGCATCCTCTTTATTGTCCTTGCTCTTAACTACTCTGATGTTGGGGTTCTTTTCCTAATCTTTTTTTTAAATGAATTGACTGTTTGACCCTTAATTTTTTTTTATATTCTTAATAGATATAAGCAACCCCTTGCTTTCCTATTGTTGTTATATACTAGAGGCCCAGTGCATGAAATTTGTGCAGGGTGTGGTCCCTAGGCCTGGCTGAGGATCCAAGCGTGAGCATTTGGCGTTGAAGGGCCCTGGGCAGCACCTGGGCCCCTGGGCCCCCACATGCCCCCCTCCACCTGGGTCATAGCGCCTGAGTCCCCATTCAGAGATGCAGTGAGTGCGACCTGACGCCACAGGTCAGGGTGCAGCATGGGCCTCTGGGCTGCCCAGTGGTGCTGCATGGAAGTTGGGCAGGCAGGGTGCTCTCTCATGACCGGCCTCACAGACCAGCTCCTGCGTGAACCCATGGGGAGCCTGACTGGCCCCTGCAGTCCTGGCAGCTGCAGCTCGGCTCACTGGGAAGAGGCTGTGCGTGTGTGGGGCAGGCTCCTCGTGGGCACCTGGCACCTGAGCACAGGGGCTTCCCTGGTGCACAAGCCCTGGCATCCCGGGGGAGGCTAGCAGGGGGAGTGAGAGAGAGCTCGGCGGACACCCCGCATTCCCACTGCACCTTCGTCCCTGCCACCCCCGTCCCCAGGTAGCCAGCGAGAGGTCACAGCCCCCTGCCCATGTGCTGCAGGAGGTTGGTTGCCGCCACCCACCCCCAGTTCCCCATCCCATCCTGGGGCCTGGCCCAGATCAGGCGATCAGGGCCTGCTGGATGCTGGTCCCCATCTGTGGGGTGATCGATAGCATGGGCCTCTGGGCTGCCCAGTGGTGCTGCATGGAAGTTGGGCAGGCAGGGTGCTCTCTCATGACCGGCCTCACAGACCAGCTCCTGCGTGAACCCATGGGGAGCCTGACTGGCCCCTGCAGTCCTGGCAGCTGCAGCTCGGCTCACTGGGAAGAGGCTGTGCGTGTGTGGGGCAGGCTCCTCGTGGGCACCTGGCACCTGAGCACAGGGGTTATTTTTAGACTCCCTACCCCTCCTATCTTCATGCTTTCTCCCACTTTCAGTAGCTCTACTCTTTGCCAGTATTTAGCATGTATTTGTACATTATGAATTTACAATTAAAAGGAAAACAGATCTACTATATC